GAAATGTCGTAGGTCAAGAACGGGTCGATTCGGTAAACTTTCTGTGAAGTCGTCGATCGGTCTGATTTTCTTGACCGACCCCTTGGCTGCATCCCAGGAAGACTGGACGACTCCAAACCGTCTGGTAAGAATGGCATCAGCAGGCAGGTCCTCCAAAGAGAAGGGCCCTTCAACCCAGTGCTCATCCCTCTCAGCCAAAGTCAACTTGTAGATTTCGGCAGCAACCGCCAATTCGTCTGCAGACATGGACTTGGCTGAGTCCAGCACGGCTTGCCACACACACACACCTTTGGTTGTCACTAGCCACCTCACGAACTTCAGGCACCGACAGTGAGGCGTAAGTGGCTTTCTTTGGTAGCACCCCTGAGCTGTCAGGTATGGGACCCAGTAGATCAAAACCCTTGCCAATGTCACGAGGCAGCTTTGAATCACCATAGCCCGATTCGCGAATCATTTCACCCAAGAGCTTCATGGACTTGTTGGCAAGGATGTCTTTACAATGGGGGGACACCAAGGGCTCCTCCCCTGCTGTAGTTAACTCTTTGGCCCTGAGCATCCACTGTCTCAGATTTGCAGTTCTTTCTTTAGCAATCTCCACCGGTGACATGGAAACGCAATGGCCAATGCACTCCTTGAGTGGGGCAGGCAAGGCCGACGCCAAAAGTTTTGGATGCTTGCACTTTATTGCCTGAGCCACAAAGTCAGCAGGAGACCATGGCACACCGAAACTGGCAGTGATTATCGACTCAAGGCCTTCGGGGTCACCCCCGGCTGGGAAGGACGCGAGACGCTTGGAACCCTCTGGAAGTAGCTGCACGGGAGGCTGAGTCACGCAACCTGAAGACACAACCCAAGCTGCTTCTAGCTTGGGAGCAGAAGGCACAAGGGAAGTTGGGCCAGTAACGGTCACCACGCTGGCATATTCAGCAACCAGGGGCGGCAAACGCTTGCTCGGCTGATGAGACGCTGCAATCTGAGCAGCACGAGCCGGCTGCAGCTCGGCAGCATGCAAGTTGGGTGGCAACGGTTTGGCATCTAGAGCTTGAAGCTGGGACACAAAAGAATGAGCAAGGCATCTGCACATGAGAGGAGGGTAAGCCACCTCAAACTTGGTGGCCCAGCCACCATCAGGCAACCTGCCCCACGGAAGGTGCTCGTGGGAGCCGTCGCAAGAAACCTGCATGACCTGTAGAAAAGGGATTGCGTGGCACAAAAGTGTATGCTTGCGGCGCTGGCTGCCAAACATGCAATGGTGCAGGCGGGTGCAAATGTGGGGACAGCGCAGCAGAGACACAATGGGCTTTGTAGCCCAAAAGAGAGATCGGTTAGGGTTCTCGATGCACCACAGAACCCCAAGCTCATTGCACTTGTTGACAAGAGAGGCTACGAGGGAATACAACTTATTGGCAGTCGAAACTCTAGTCAGGTCCAGGCCTCGAAGATCCGGCACACCATCGGGAGCCTGGGAAGTGCGCAGGGGCCGGGGAGCATTGCGCCCTGGGATCGATCTTGCAGCACTGGCGGTACCGCACGGCGGGGCAAAATGACATGCAACGACATCTGGCCGGGTCAACATTTCACTAGCAAGTGATTGGCCTCCATCAGTGGCCAAATCAATGGAAATCACTGGACACTTGACTCCTGCACCCGCCTGATGATCAATGCCTCGACTGCCTGAGAGACCCTTCTTACGCACCTCAGTACAGAGACCCCCGGAGCCACAGAAAAACTCAAGGAACACCAGCTCGGAGAGCGGGCGGCCTGCAATCCTCGCTTTAACCCGATTCAGGAAGGGCTTAAGGTCATCAGGAACATCAGGTTGCCATGCAACAGGAGGGCAGTCAGTGCTTGAATCCTGCGGCAGTGGGAAGCCAAGCTGCGTCAAGAACGTCCGGTCAGAAACTGACATAGCATGATGGTCCTCACCAGCATAAGCAATTAGCACAACACGACTGCCGGTCCAGGGCTCGGTCGAATGAAGGCAGTTGCGAGCTGGGAAAATCACAGGACCCGCACGCACATCACGCAATGTACCTGGAAGTTGAGACCCGTTCACGGGACGCATAGCCGAGCCTCCTGGTTCATGCACCCAAATCTCACCTCCAGCAAAATCACTCAGCGGACAAACAAGGTTGTGATCCGTAAAATTATTCGTGTCTTTGTGACAAGAAGTTGGAACATCGCGATGCACTGCAATTGAAGAAAACTGAAAATCAGGCATAGAAATGCGGGCAAAAGCAATCAAAGCAGCCACACTGAGAGGGAACTCTCTAGTAGCGCTGAAAACACCATGTATGCCACCGTGGCGAAAGGATCCACAAAGGAATTTCTCACCAGCGCGATCCACATTTGCGCGGAGCTCGGCCTTAGGCAACAAAGAAAACAAATGCAAGCAATCATGACGGGTGATGGCCTGGGAGCGCTGTAACAGTTCACTTGAGAACTGCTCCGCTGGGTGGTGACTCACCAGAGGCAAGTCACGAGGCAACAAATCACACCGAAACTTATGATTGCACTGGAAAACAGGTTGGGATTGCAACTCAACATCCTCACCATTTAAACTAGTGCGGGATGAAGTTGAGGGAGCGGGTGAGAGTCACTCGTTCCGCTTGTACGTCTTGCACTGAAGCAGGCTATGAGGACCAAGGCAGAACATGCAGACGTGGGCACCTCTCTTGCAAGCCTGACCTGCCTTGGCGAAGCTGCAACTTTTAGATAGATTCCAGTTCCAACAAATCCTGGAGCCATCGGCGGTGTTATGCTTGAGGTTGCTGTCTTGCAACTCAGAAGGAGCTTTGCCACTCCCTTTAGCCTGACCTTGATGCTTCAGATCTCCTTCAGGGGTTCGCTTTTTCCCACCCCCTCGGCCACGACCCCTGCCTCGGCCTCTCCAAGGAGCAGGAGGCGGATCCTCCTCGGTGTTGGCATTCTTGAGGAAACTCTTGCCCTGCAGTGGCTGAAGGAAGTACGTCACATGTGGGTCGATCTGAAGGCGGGGGAAGGCAAGGTCAAGAGGCAGCTGACCCGCTGGGTCACGCTTGAGGCTCGGTACCTCTTCTGCCAACCTAATCCATGCCTGACGGTCGGCACGGAGAACTTGTTCCATAGACGTGGGTCTATAGTTCGGCGGCGGAGGCGTGGACAACTTGTTGAGTAAGTATCGGTGCCAACGCTCCATAACCGAAAAAGTGCACACTTGAAGCAGGTCGCATGCTAGGGCACGCCTTGTCATGGCTTCGGCAAGCTGCAACTCATTCTGTATCTGACATCGATCCTTAGTCCTGCGATCACGAATGGACAACTTCGCAGATTCATCGAGGATGACTTCTTTCCCAGGTTTCTCCCGAGAAATTTCTTGGGAGCGGGGAATGAAACGATGCAGCTCCAACCACTGAGGGTGATCATGTTCTACCATCGCTGACACGTAAACGTAGTTGGAGTATGCGTTTTCTAGAGGTCCTGTCAAGTCGAAGCCTGCCAGCCTACGCTTCTGCGCAGCAATACGCTGAGCCCGTTCAGCGGGCGCCAACTCAACTTTGGGCTCGCCATCAGTCTCTATGCTGGCCTTGATTTGCGCTATGCACAAAGTCTGGGCCTCAAAGGTCAATCTCCGAATGGAAGCTAAGGCCTGCAAAGATACGGCATCTGGACTGGAAGAGTCCAACAACTCTCGCAATGCCAACTCAGAAGGAGTGACGCCTGGCGTCGTCAGAACATACGCCAAGGT